ATATTATTAAAGTATAGAGAAAAAAAAACACACACACACACACATATAAGCTGCTGAAAATATTCCTTATTAACTACTACCTCAATGTTAGAATCAATAAGCAAAAACAAGCAGATATTGACATTTTTAATAAATTTACGCTAATATGACAGCTGTCACGAAACAAACGCAAGAGTTCTTTTTTTTATAGAGCCATTTTAAAACTAAATGCTCCTAATGTCATTTAATGAAAGAAACATCACGAACATTTTAACGAAGCCAATTTCTCCGGTTTCATAAACATATAATTCACACGTTTGCTGATTTTTAAAAGAGATAAAGATACTGCAGCACAACGTATTCAAAAGACAAGGTAGTTTGAAATGTTCTCAGCCTGACCAACTTTATGAAATCTCATTAAATGACCAAATATCAAATTTTATTTATGAGCTTGTGTTCGGGCTGATAATATTCCAGAGGCAATTCCTTCTCCCCAAAACACAATGTCCGATCGTATCACGAGGTATAGTTAAGTGCGTTTGGACCAGGCCATTTTCTCGCAAATACCTGGGATTGAAGAATCTTAACCATTGATTTGAGAATGCAGTTGTGTACAGCTGACACTTCAGATATTTCTTAACGAGTTTACTATCAGGCATTACATCCATATATGGATGTTTATCATCCATACACGGAAGATAAATCTCCGTCTCTCTCTCTTTCTTTATCTATCTATCTCTCTATCTATATCTATATGCACATACAGTGGCAATTTTTAATTTTAAAATGTTTTATTGACAAGTATAGGAATTATATGTTTATTAGATTTAGATCTTTTCTAAACTGATAACGTAATCTGGGTAGATTTGAATTTGAATATATCTATAGCGAATTCTGGCGCAATCAATTTATTATACAGGGATCACGGGTTTTTTTTAAAGTTATATTGCATTTAAAACAGACGGGAATTTTATTTTATATTTAAAACAAATGGGGATAATATTTTATTCTATATTTAAAATAAACAGGGATTAATGGTATTTATTAAATATATATTAAAGTAGACGGACCTAAAACTATATGAATATAAAAATGAAAAGTATTCATTTGTATATAAAGTTGACATTATTATATCAAACATAAAGGGAATTACTGTTTATTTATTCTGTTAAAAAATATATATATAAAATAAACGGACATAGAAACAATAAAAATAAGTAATAATAATAACATGCAAAACGGTAATGGTCGTAATTTACAATAAAAATTAATCTAGATCAACGTATTTCAACAGATATTTAATTTTATGCCTACATGTGACCATCAATTCATTTCTCTTGTTTAATAAGTTGGGGTTATTTAAATGTTTTAAGATGAATAATTTTTTAACAAGTCCTCATAATCTATATCACTACATATAATTCTGTAGGCTAGATGTTAGGATTCCGAATGTCCTTCTGTACGGAGAATTGACCACCGGAGAAGAGGGTTCGAGTGCAACACCAATTTTCGCCTAAGAGGACGTTTTCAAAAGGAAGATGAGGGCAATGCCCATGGACATCGAGAGACGCGATTTAAATTGAGGACGAGAGAGAGAGGAGAGTAAAAACGAAGGTTTGCCCCCGGGGAGAAGCGTGCTCGACAAAAAGTAAAAACAATAAGGTGACATGGGTGGGGAGGGGGTTTGGGGCGCGAATCACATTGTAATCGAAACTGCCACTGCCGTGTGCGCCTGTACAGCCATAACAGATGCTGCACCGTAATCAGAAGCTGAAGCAAAACACCTTCGGCAAAGAGCCATAGTTTTCGATACCGAAGAATGCCACACGCACACACACACAATATATATATATATATATATATATATATATATATATATATATATATATATATATATATATTTTATATATATTTAGTTTGATATATTTTTTTATATATATTTGAGTTTGATATATATATTTATATATATATATATATATATATATATATATATATATATATATATATACATGTATGTATGTATATACAAGAAAAATATATTTCATATTTATTTAAACATTATGTACGTTTAAACCTATTGATGAACATTCTGTTTTAACAAAGACACAAATTAGGCATCAACAAGACAGTTTTTTAGTAGATTAAGAATATTGTCTGGGCAAGAACCCTCTCCTTTATTTTAAAAATAATTGTATTTATTTTCCAAATCAAATAATAAAGAAGGTTAAAATTAATTAAAACCGAAGTAAAAGAAATAAAAAAGTATATTTGTATATGTCGGAAATTAATATATTTTCCTGCGACAAATTATTATAACAATAACTCTTTATTTAAATTTGTTTAAGTTATAAGTAATTTCGTTTTTGGAGGAACAAGTTGTAATGAAACATATATAATACTAACTAAATGCTCTTCAGATAAATTATAACAGGTGATGAAAAAACGGGCTACATACGACAATGTTAAACGATAAATGCAGTATGTTGAGAATGGTAAATCTCTACAAAGGTACCAAAAAGCTGAACGAGAAAAAGAACATTTATGTTGTGCGTGATCATCGGCGTATTATACAAATAGAATTTTTTTAAAAGCGCATTGCAACACTAAATGCATATTTATATGTCCAGCAGCTTCGAGATGTCTATAATAATTTGGTTGATATACTCAAAGTAATCTTCAATGGAAAAACAATTTAGACCATGACAACGCAAAGCCAATCTAAAGAATAACACAGGTTAACGTTTTGGAACATGTTTGGTATGCTCTATTATACTTGCCATATTCTCATGTCATTGCATCAACCAATTATTACATTTTTATAATCGATGGAAAAATATTAGTCGTGTATAAATTTCTCTAATGAAAACCAGGTTGAAGAGTTCGTCGAAAACTTTTTCACATCGACACCTGAAGAATTTTCCTCAAAATGTATTAGGTTGGCAAAAAAAATAATGTCGTTTTTGACGTTAAGTTGACCGTCAAAAACGACATTATTTTTGCACCAACCTAATATCAAAACCCCGTCTGAGTGCCAACAGGTTATTGTAAATTCATGTAATGAATATGCATACACCTGGATTCCCCTTCATAGTAACATGATTGGCTGGGGTCAGCAAAAAATACAGACTGATGTGGAGGTATAGGAACGAGGACGCCTATTGCCTACGTTTATTGCCTATCACTTCGACGAGGATCAGTCAATTACGGTTACCTGCTAGATTGACTTACTCGGTTACAGTAGTCCAAAACCACTTTGCTACTTCGAACAAATATATCCCATTCCGGGACATATCATAAATAATGCAGAATATGTAACTGAATAAAAAGTGTACTTTATTTTCGTATATTTTTTTTATATTGATAAACAAAATAGGTATTTATTTATGACTCAACACAATTAATAATAAATAGCTATATAATAAAAAATGACGATTCAGAAAATATTTATTTATGTATGTGTCGGTGTGTTTAGGCAAGTCATGGGCAAACTATAGCCCGCGGACCATATGTGTCCTGATTGGTTTTCTGTCTTGTTCACTCACATCCTGTCAGGCATAACCACATACATAAACAATGATTTCTTGAATTTTCATAAATTTTCGTTGGAGGTAACGTTATCAACTTTTTAAACCAATAGCGATTTTCACAAAGGAAGATCCTACATGTAAATATCTTTACAGACAGAGGAAACTTCAATGACAATTATTAGTCTAGAGAGAATAAATATAATTCTTTTTATTTTCGTATATTATTTACATTATTCGGACTATTGTCCTCATTTTTGTCACCATATTTATCAAAACGTTTCGACCGTTGTACGCCCCGTCCTTCTTCAGGTGGTTGGAATTTCGAACTGAACCCTTTTTTCCCCTCACTGGGGTAGATTGTTCTAGTTCCACATGCCATGTTTGATGGATGTCAGTTATCAGTTATCTCCTGCTAATTTCCCTCTGAAAGTTCTCCACTGCCTTAACCGGGTATTGAACTCACACTCTTTGGGTCCTGTAACTGGATCTTACCAACGCCTTTATCCACTGTGCCATGTGTCCAACCACCTGAAGAAAGCCGGAGCGTACAACGGCCGAAACGTTGTGATAAATATGGCGACAAAGATAAGGACAATAGTCCGAATAATGTAAATAATGTACATAATACCTCATCTCAGAAATATAGAAAATATTTTCGTATAGTTAAAAGAATAAATTAGAACCATATCACAGATTGATATGATTTTAATGAGTTTCCATGAGTGGTATTTTTATAACAGTACAGTTTTTTCATTCTAGATGGAAATTTTCTCCAAAGAAAAACCAAATCGGTATTTCCCCATATAGAAGGCTGATGCTTATATGCATTCATTTTTTTTTGGGGGGGGTACGGTATTTTAATTAAAAAAATTACTGATATTTTAGTACCTCATGCGGACCACTGTTCGTAAAAAATTGCCTATGCCTGGTTTTGGCGATTATATTAAATATATAATGCTGACACCCCGTGTGGATTATTAAAACGAGTGATAAACTGTGAATTATCCTAATCATCGCTTAAGTCAAAGTAAGTGATTTCTCTACAAGAAACTAAATAATCGCTAATGGCTGAGGAGGATCAGCCTACAAAGCTATAACCGGGGTTTATATAATTAAAAATACGATGTGTATCTGAAAAGTAACTGAACTGGTGTCACAAACTATTTATTTCATTTCAAAAAAAAAAAAAACTTGGTTTCCCCTTCGAAATAACACATTGCATTTTCCATCCTTTTCTGCTACGCTTGTCTGCAGTGCTGAAAGGGTTCTTTTTCAAAATAATAATGAATCAGTGATGCAATTCTTACTAATTAACCCACATCTAGGGTAAGAGAGGTGGATGCATAAATTTCCTAAGTTTATTTGTGCGTAAGTGAATATAAAGGAAACTAGAATTCGCCTATACTATATAGTACTATATATTACTAAATATACTATATATTCTATATCCGGCTATTCGGAGCCATTATCCGTTACACTACCCGCATATCCAAGCTTGCAACACCTGGTTTTACCAAGTGGTTACCCATCTAGCTACTGATCAGGCTCGACGGTGCTTTACTTTGGTGATCTTACGGAACGGGTGTGTGATATGGCCGTAAGGCTACAGAAAGTCGACTGGAAGAATTCCAGTATACTTCTCTGCGTTACCTTTTGTGTTCATACCTTATTGAAAGGCATTACAAAACTTACTTCTCTCTCGGTTATACATAGAGGGTGGACTACAGTGACATCCCGTGAAAATAAAAGAAAACTCTGAATCCTAAATCGCAGAAAATATAACGGGAAAAGCATTCCACCATTTTTTTCATAAGAGGGCATAGCCATTTATAAAGAATTAATAAAGAAATCCGTGGAGACCTATGACCGCCTTCGTGCTGAAGGGACAGGGCGTTTAAAAAATACTTTACAGATTTGCATAATTGTTTTTCCCCAGTGGTAATTTCACCGTTGAAAGGAAGACGTCAGACGCTGGACAAGCGGAAGCAAAATAATCCTTAATGCGAACATTAAATGTGGACGAGACGCTTTAAAAAGTATGTGATGTCCCAAGGGACGTGCTTCGAAGAAGACTAAGACGCCATTACCCTAGTTCGGCTTTGTTTTCGTTAGGTTTAAAAGGCTGTATCATTTTCGAACTGAACACTTACATATGTATCAAAAGCTAATGCATTGTTATTTTGATAACACGGGATCTGATTTCAATCCTTTTTTATGGCAATGAATAACGCAGAATCTTGCTACAAGTGAAGCGAAAACTAGAGAGAGCGGAAATGTGGCTCTACAAAAAAGATGCTGAAGAAGCCATTGATGGAGGGAGTAAAAAACATGAAAGTATTAAAATTATCTTCACAAAAATAACACATATTCATATACAAAAAGAGGCAGAAAAATTTCCTGAATACAAAATGAGGAAAGAGGACTTAGAAAACTCGACACTCACAGAGCATATCGAGCAAAGTAGAGATAGAAGAAGCCACCGACCCATCTAACTGACGAACTTGAGTGAATCAATGTTAGAAGCGAGTGTTCGAGGCTTAGCAATGGCATAAACGCTGCTTAGGGGTATAATGGTTAGGAAGCAGTAAAGAACTATGGTCACCCACTTTTTGAAGGGACACGGTACATAGAAGAAGTGTCTGACTTCGTATACGAAAACAGAACGTAAGAACTCAAATACAAGAATTATTTATCGATAGAAGTCATTCATTTGTAGTTGACTTGATGACCTGGCTCTATCCATAGATATCAAATTTATCGCACACTATAGCTACTTCAAGTTGCATCAATATATAACACAACTATTTATTGAAATCTAAATATCTCTTGTCTCAATCATATCACCGTCTGCCTGCCCATTTAGGATAAATGCCTATTTTTTTTACCAATAATATAATTAGATAAATGTGCTCTTATTTAAAAAAAATAACTATTTTTTAAAGCTTAAAATTCTGTCTCAAAGCATGGAATGATTTTGAGCTTGCAAAAGCTAAAACAATCGTAGAAATTAAAAAAGAAAAACTATTGAAATGAACAAACGACCGATGTAGATGTCTGAGGTGGGTAATGGATAACGGCCCAGAATGAGAAATTGCCATGTTGAGTTCGAATTGCATTTAGATGCGTTACCTTCAATTTCGCGCAAATATCTTTGGGAACGTTATGAATTCATTTCTTCAACCCCCACATATGTGTCGATCAGTCATGGGCAAAATGCAACCCGCAGACCATATGGGTCTTAACTGGTTTTATGAAAAGCGCGCTTAATTTCATCAAGAAAACAACGTTTATTAAAATGTTTGTTTCTTCTTGTTCTCACTTGTTCACTCACACACTCTCCGACTTAATCACATACATAAACGATGATTAAGTACGATGTTTCTTGAATTTTGTAACATTTCATTGAACGTAACTTTCTCAGCATTTAAAACCATTGGAGATTTTAAATAAGGAAGATCATACGTGTAAACATCTTTTACTTCAGAAACAGAAACCCTCAATGATAATTATTCTCCTTTTACAATTTTTTTTTGTCTAATCAAATATATAATTTAGGAACAAATCACATGCAACAATGTGGGTTAATCACGCTGTCATCAGTGATAATATTATACCAGGATTTCATTTTTTAAAAATTATACAAGGAATCTTTTCTCCAAAGGAAAAATGATTTTTTTTCTAAGTCAGATGCTTTGTTGAGTAAATGGGCGCGATATATTTAATAAAAAAATATCTTATTTTTAAAAGTGCAGCCCACTTTCTGATGCACTGTAGCTAATGCTGCCTTCATCTTCAGAAACTGTCGCCCATGCCTGGGCTAAATCGCAGGATAAGATAGTCTCTTCAGTCTCAGTTGTCAACCAGTTTAGGAAATGAAAAAATCTGAATTTCTAAGTTTAAGTTGCTTGAAATTATAAGCTAGTAACAGTTGGTCGTATAAGAGAAGTAACATCGTGATAGAAAACCAGACCTTCTTCCGAGTACACAGGTGGGATGTTTGGTCGTCTTATATTTGGTTAGGAAACAGGATAGGATAATGCCAAGTCGAAATTCAAAACTGTGTGATGCCGTGGCATAGAAAACCTTATGCAGCTAAAGAAAGAGGCATAGAGCTCGCATTTACTCAATGATATCGAGTGCTGGCAATAGGATACAATGAACGATATATACACTACCTATAAAGGAGTTCGCTGAAAATCATGAATGACGATGGTTCAGGCTTGTTCTTGGTAAAACGATAAGTTATATAGCGAATTTGTGTCTCGTATCAAGGGTGAAGTTAGAGACAAATCTGTCTTTGACTAGTTATGAAATATTAATGTTATAAGCTAGGCAATAAGGCGATTGATAGGACTAGTAGAATGAAATGTGTAACGGAATATATAAGCTTCTTTAGGAAGTTATCATATTCGAATGACATGATACATTCGCAAGGCCATAAGGTTGGAACAAGATTTCGATGCCTACAGGTAGAAACCAATCTCACAGATTGATTCGTTAACAAAGCGGACTAAGTCTCAATTTCTTTTTTTTTTTATTTTAGAATGAAAATTTCAAACGTATGATTGCTTTGGTTCTCAAAGAAACAAATGCTTTATTAGTCCCGATAGAATACCGCTGGAAAATTATAAGCAAAGAACTTTACCAAATAGCAAAAACCACATCACTCGAAATCATCCAACAGCGTAAGCAGCAGTACTGGGTTTCACATGTATAACGAAACGAAAATAATGATAAAATCAAGTTGTTAGCTTTCTACATTTACATAAGAGAAAGTTACCGAGAGAAAGTACGATCAACACTAGAAAGAAAGATGATAGATGACTTCAGAAGTTAAATATACTGACAAATCTTTTAAATAATAATAAAAAAAATTATTGACAAAGTTGCCATCTGCCTGGTTGGGGCTTCATTAAACCCGGCAATATCAAATAATAACATCACTAGATTTGTCTAGTTGAACAATTTTAATCATATGGCTTAATTTATGTTGTATATGATAGCATATTTGACCATCACCCACCATTTGCTTATTGTATTACACTACTCGCTGAAGTACCTATCTATGAATGTTTAGGAGGTCAAGTCTTGTATTGAAATTTGCTATAATCGTAATAAATCAAATCTTTCATCATCATCATCATCATCATTTGGCCTTTCAAATGTTGGTCGGAACTCCATTTCCACACTATTCGATCCTGTATTGCTGTCCCCAGATCTAATGTCCAATCCTGAGTCTCGAGCTATGGTGTGTGGGAAAGTCAATTTTCGTGAAGGTTGCTATAGAAGTAAGCACAAGACGATTTTCTGTCCGCTCAGTGGCCGGCAAATGTAATCGTTTTTGTTTCAGCTTAAGAAAGCTGGGTCTTAGTTCTCCGTAAATTGTGTTAATCGTTGTACTGATGGTGCGCTGTTATTGCGGTTTTCTCTCTCGCACTTCTCGCCTGTGGAACTAACTTTTTCATTCTCTTGTCACCTGTGACTTTAAAATTTAAATGCACCATCAACAGCCATATTCTCTTCTTTAACGCTGTTCTTTGATATTTCCTCTCCACTCACTAATGTTTCCAATTTTCTTTCAGCCTCAATTATCCCTTGCCTTCTTAGTATCAGTATCGCCTTGCTTGAGTTGAGTGATTAACAAAAAAATATTCCAACCTAAAGTAACACCTATGATACGCTCAATCGATGCTGAAATTTCCCTATGTTGAAATGTTTAATTTAACCAGTATCATATATGGTAATGTATTCATGAGATCCAGATGCATTTATATAACAACTTAGACATCTGTAGATATTTTGAAAACACCGGTGTAGACATGTTTCAAGAAGTGACCGGACGTTGTTATGAAGATACCTTTTTATATATACAAAAATGCTCCCTCAGATTCGTCGATTAAGACTGTAGGATCATCTAATTAAAAGCCAAAACTTTTTATGATATAACCAGCTTGTACTCTCAACTATGGGACTATGTGTGGAGAACGTTTTATATTGGTGGACACTAATTACTAACACAGAGACATTTTGGAATCATATTCTGTTTGCAGATATGCCTGTTTTATAAGAAAACATAAAACAGTTCACATAATCGATATATGAATTCCTTATAATGTTATTTTCAGAATAAAGACATACATCCTTGATAATACTATCGCCCTTACAGTAGTACACTTGTCAGGTTTTGGTAAAAAGAATACTTTAAACTTTGCTAAATTATTTTAATTATGTTTATATTACATCATAATAGTCCTTGCAGATTTATCAACATTGGTAGAAATGTAGGATTTATAAGGTCTGTTAAAGTTAATAAAACAGTCGGTGCGTCTTAAGCGTTACATGAAATTACCCACACATAGACACAGAAAGGCACCCGCTTCTTATGTAGAAATAATCAGCAAAGAGGCTAAGGACATCACTGTCAGAATGGGCATTAGCGTTAAAGTCCAGACGCTATGCTAAAAGCAAAGCTTTTAACTTAAGGACAATTACCACAGCTGCCTTTCTTCCCGCTTAATAGATCCTTCATAGACAATTAGGCATTATATGCCGAAAAGCTACACAAAACATATGCGAGCAACTAAGAGTAGCAAATCA